CACAAGCACTTCCCCTCACCAAGCGATCTGTTCTCAAGGTTACGGCCAAGATCTTCGACCCCATGGGATTTTTGACGCCTCTAACAATAGAGATGAAGATCTTGTTTCAAGAACTTTGTATCAACAAAACAAACTGGGACGAAGAATTACAAGGAACTTTGCTTCACCGATGGAAATCGTTTCTCCAAGATCTTAAGTTCATTGGCGGCTATCGTATTCCTCGATGCTATTTTTCGCGACAACCTGTAACCTCTCAGATACATGGCTTCAGTGATGCTTCAGAACGCGCCTACGCCGCGGTGGTTTATATTCGAAACACGTACAGTGATGGTCGAATCGAAGTTAAATTGGTCGCTTCAAAATCGAGAGTCGCTCCTATCAAGGCACAGACAATTCCTCGATTGGAATTACTAGGAGCATTAATTTTGGCCCGACTTGTTAACAAGTTAAAGTCGATTGGAGCTGAATACACAACCGTTCTCTGGAGTGATTCTACAACTGCTCTATGCTGGATCAAAAATGAAAGAGTATGGAAGCAGTACATCGGTCAAAGAGTAGAAGAAATTCGACGTCTAACTCCCAAAGATTTATGGAGGCACTGTCCAGGAGAATTAAATCCTGCCGATCTACCATCGCGTGGAGTATCAGCGAAAGAACTTTCTGCCAGCAATACGTGGTGGAATGGTCCGAGTTTTTTGTATCAATCCGAGAATGAATGGCCCGAAACTTCTCCATCGGAACAAGTGAACGAAGAACAAATTTTACAGGAAGCCGTCAAGAACGTACCAGATGTAACACATTCCCTTATTACCACTGCCTGCGACAAATTCAACCCGAAAGTTGACCAGATAATCGACATTGGACGGTTCAGCGACAGGACGAAATTAATTCGAGTAACCGCGTTTGTGATCAAGTTCATCAACAAGCTCAAAAACCGAACACTTGAAAACCGGAAAGAAGAAATGGAAGATTTAACAACCACCGAATTGAAGGACGCCGAGAATCTGTGGATACACTCGGTTCAAGCATCGTCTTTTACCGATGAACTTTCTTTTCTGACTCGAAAGGATTCGAAATCAACGCCACCTATACGTGTTCCGCAGTTGGGACTGTTTCTCGACGACGATGGAATTATCAGATGCAAAGGACGGATCGCAAATGCTTCCCTAGCGTCTTCTGCCAGAACCCCGATACTTTTGCCTGCCAAACACGCTTTCACCAATCTCACTATTAGGAATATTCACGATTTAGTCAAGCATTCTGGGATAAGGGACACGCTTACGAACTTACGAGAACGTTTCTGGATTCTACGCGGTCGCGAGACAGTCAAGAAAATCATTCGACACTGCGTTGTCTGCCGACGATTCGATGCAGCACCATGCAAACCTCCACCGTTCGCTGATCTTCCAACCAACCGAGTCTCAGACGATCCACCTTTTACTAATGTTGGAATCGACTTCGCTGGGCCATTTTACGTAAAGGAAAACGTCAACAACGCTGAATGTGTCAAAGTTTACGTGTGTTTATTTACATGCGCTTCAACCCGTGCAGTGCACTTAGAGTTGACTCGTGGACTCGGTGTCCAAGATTTCCTGCTTGCTTTCAGAAGATTCACCAGTAGAAGAGGACTCCCGGCTAATCTTCAATCGGACAATGCAAAAACTTTCAAATCATCAAGCAAGGATATTCGCAAATTAGTACGGTCACCGGAAGTTTGGCGATATTTAACCAACAATCAAATCAGTTGGAATTTCATTGTGGAAAAGGCACCGTGGTGGGGAGGCTACTGGGAAAGGCTCATTCGCAGCGTAAAGTCTCCTATCCAAAAAACCATCGGAAAATCTACCCTCACCCACGTGGAGCTAAGTACTCTGTTAACGGAAATAGAAGGGCTGATCAACGCAAGGCCGCTGACTTATGTGTATGACGACGAGGAATCGATCTCGTATCCCTTAACGCCATCGGATCTGATTTATGGTCGAAGAGTTACTACAACTCCGAACAGTCAACATTTCGAAATCACTAGCACCTACGATTCTCTGACGAAGCGACTTAAACATCATAGACATCTGTTGGGACAATTCACTCGTCAATGGAGAAATGAATATTTAACCAGCTTAAGAGAACATGCTATCAAGAACGCACGGCTAAGGGGAGACAATGGCGATACGGGGGTCAAGGTTGGAGACATTGTTATTCTCAAAAATGACAGCGTTCGTCGAAGCTTCTGGAAGCTTGCGAAAGTAGAAGAATTGCACCCGGGCCGAGATGGAAAGGTGCGAGCAGTTTCAGTTAGAGTTACGAGTACCAATGGTAGTTCAATTCAGCGCTTGCGACGACCCATTCAACACTTGTTCCTCTTGAGGTGAACTCTTGAACTGAACTGAGAACCTTAAACGTTGCCGTATTTAGATTTATTTCCTCACACTTGTAAATAACGCGAACATTTAGAAACAACGAACTTTGCGATAACAAATATAGTCTTAGTTTATTTTTCAAAGCGAATATAGTTGACTCACACTAAGGTGATCAACTAGGGGGAGTGTCATAAACAGTCACGCGTATTTGTTATGTAATCAAAGTCGTCACGCTTTTCGTTTTGTTTGTACAAAGAGAGCACATGACAACAACTTGATTTACTGTTTTTTGTAGGATATCAAATTTAGTGTGTATATTAAGGGCGTATGATTTAACTCGAGGGGTTCTTTCTGTACGATATCAGAGTGGAATAAATCAGAATTTATACGAAAACGATTACGACTACTTCGTGTTTATAATAATGATCGAGGTAGGTTTGAAGTCTCGAATAAATCATCACATGCGATACAAACACCAAATTGTTTACATTCCGCGACGTAAACACCTTAGGGAGCGCTGATTGTAGTGAATAAATTGAGAAGCCTATTAGTAATTGTTTCGTTATTCGCTCAATGAAACTCGTGTTTCGATGCCTTGAGTAACTGACATTTTCCTTCCCAGCTGATTCATCAACAACTCAAATCAAGCAAATCTACTGCTACTGCTCGTTATCCAAAAAATTCGCGAAGCGACGCGACATGCGTGAGTGTAACATGATAGCTTTTTTCATTATGTAAATTTTCCGTTGTCTACTCACCGCTTTTTCAAACTTAGAAGTCCTTTGTTTCATACAACAATGAAATACAAAGGAAACTTATAGCGCTGAATAACAAAGGCACATATGACTCGCGCATTTTTTTCGACCGTGCACGCAAAAAAATCGTATATGCGCGTCTGACTACCCTGCGTAGGAGCGTATGAAATTCGTCTGTGCAGTTAACGTATACGCGAGTGGTACTGTATATTCTGTGTATTCATGTACTGTTTGAATCATTTATGATCAACAGCTTGGGTAAGATAATGGGATCTCATTGGAGGTGTCAGTATGTTCTGTAGCTAGTTGGAAAGGGTTGGACCCTCAGTAGATTGATGGGGTCTATAGCTCACCTAGAAAATTTTATCCTCTTAATTTGAAGGATTAGGTTATAAAAGGGATTGATAAGATATCCCATCTGGTACATTTCATAAATCTGTGGTCTCCAGTGTTAGACAGGATCCCTCTAAGGATTTTTCTTAAAGTTGGAAGCCATCTGAAATTTTATGCAGGGTCTAAACTGGGACTGGCAGGATCCCAGGTACAATCCCGCCTAGGATATGATTTCCTAGGTGGGAAACTATCTGAGATTTGAGGCAGGATCCCAAGAGGGATTGGTGGGATTCTAGGTTTAATCCTGCCTGGGATGTGCTTTTCCAGGTGGGAAGCTATTAGGAATTTAGGGTGGGATCCCAACTTCAATTGGCATGATCCCATGCGGGATGTTCCATAATCCTGGGTGGGATCCCACCCAGGACACACCTGGAATCCCAGGTAGGATTGGCAGGATCCCACCTTATATTTTTACCTGGGTGCATTTCCTCTTGCAAAGTACTTTGTCTAAAGAACTTAAGTTGAAGAGATTTAGCCTACAGAACAGGCATAATTTGTTGCACTTTTCAGGCAAAGGAGACAAGTGCCAGGCAAGTGCAGATCATGCACAGGGTAGGAGCACAAATAATAATTCTTCCCCTTGAATTTGTGCTTACCTCATGCTTGCCTCAATTCTACTAGAAAGAACAAAAGAATTTACACCTGTTCTTCAGGCTAAAATATGGATCCTTGCATAGCAAGGTCGTGATTCACTTTGATCTACTGAAATAAAATTTACCCAGTAACTGCCATGTGGTAAAAACAGCAGGCTCTTCTGGTCAATGGCAATGTATTTTCACAAGTTCAGGCTCATGTAGAACAAAGCCTTCCCCCATCCCACCTTCCTCACTGTTTCTTTCACGGCTTTAGTCAATATTAGGAGTGGTATTCTACCTAAGGGGCCAGGTTGGCAGCAGTGGTAGCCCCTGAGGATTGTTATTGGATCAACTAATAATTCCCTCATTGATATTTCTATTTATTCTCATCACTTGTCTGCTTGATATTGTATGGATGTTGCGAGAAGAAGTTCTTTCTTGGTCTCTTATGAGAGTTGACGGGTTAACAGGATAAAATTGAAGCACTAGCACAGTTAAGTGGTGACCTAAGTCATTTGTATCCTCCATTAGCATGGTAACCATCAATATAATTATAATTTGTTATAATGTTAAGTTTTGTTTAATACTTTATAGTTCAAACTTATTATTTATATAACTACTAACATCTTATTATTCATTGTACAAACTTTCACAATTAAAAGAAACATGCCTATTTTAGATTAATGCACCATTACCATAGCTACCCAATTGATTCTGAAATAAATATGCTTAAATATTAACAGCACTGTTAAAGTTAAGAAGGCCTCCAAGCACTATACTGTTCAAGAATAATTCATGCGTGCAGCCCAGCCACTAACCTATCCATGGGTTGCAAATGGCTCTGTGTAGAAAGCTCAGGGGGTGGGAAGCATTATATATAATTAGTAATATTTATTGTAGCCATAAAAATAAGCATTCTACTAACCAGCCACATTTTGTCCAGAGGCACATGGTTCATCATCAGAACTTTCATCTTCATCCTCTAATAAACCAATTTCAATCACGCTCCTGTCTTCTTCGCCAGGTTCTGATGGGTAGACTGCAAGTTTGTAAATAACTGTCAACAACTTCGATTCAATATCTTATATTTAGAAGCTATTAGATCATGCAGTAGCTCATGTTTTTGATATATTGCATGATGTAAAGGTCTATAAACATTCATAGAGAACAATAAAGAGAACCTGTCTCACTGGCTTTCTGATCACTCTTTTTTTCTGCTTTCTTTTCCCCAACTGGTGAAATTTTCGTGGTATCTCGTATCCCAGTTTCTCTGCTGAAAATGCAACATGTCATTGTGTTATATGGAAAGCCATGTTTCCACAAGATATAACTCTTACCTATTAACTCAGTATTTTTTCTTTTTGCTAACATGGAGGTCAATGCAATGTCCATAGTGACAAACAAAAAAATTAACACAGCTAACAAGAACTCCTAAAGCATACTGAATCTTGCATAAAAATATAGCATTTTAAACAAAAAAATCCACATGAAGTGAATAATTAATCCTCCATTTTGATCCTGAGGAATTTGTAGTTTTTTGCAAGAGGTTAGTGGCTAGTAAACTCTCTTGTTACCTATAACTTCTTGGATTGTCACTGAGATCTCAAAACAACAATGTCATCTTAGCCAACAGTGGGAGCTAGCTACAGTCACTGTGCAAGGGCAAAATTTTCCTGTAAAAAATGCTTAGCCTATATCTAGAAGAATTGATAGAGAACTAAGTAATGCATTTTAACTGCAGAATAAAGATATTAATGCAGATAAAACAATCTTCACACTGTCAGAATTTAAACAGCACAAAATGCTAACCATGGGTTCCCTAAGAGTGACTTAATCTAGCATTTAATTTCTCATTTTAATATCACCCCCTAAACCACAAATTAAGGACGATCTAGGATCCAAGATAAAAATTTCTTGCCTCTTCTTTGCTTTGTGGCCATCTTCATTATCTCTCTCCGCCTTTTTTATATCAGCAACTAATCAGGGATTGGAAAAAAAAAACATTCAAATTTTCTACACCTTAGTTGACCAAAATCAGTTGGGCATGTAATTAATATAAAATTCAAATTTTAAATATCTTTAAATGAACAAGTTGCTCACTGAATAAATACTTCCCAGAACCCACTTTATACAATTACTTGAAGGACAGTATTTTTACTCTCTGATAGCTTTTCATATCAAAAATTAATCAAGGGTGGAAGTAAAAATCACCTGGATGTTATTGTGTTGTCAATAAGGCTTCTACATGCTGAGCTCTCAACTCTTACACATTGAGCGTGAGACTCATGCAAACAAATTAAAACCAGGCTCTCATGCTGAAACTAAAAATTTGTCGCTCATTTAAGGTTTCTGATGTAAACTGTTGATTTACTCCTTGTTATACCTTTGTATTTGCTCTCCAAAAATAGAAATAATTGAGAGTAGTTCAATTTTCTCCAAAGCAGCCTTTTAGCAACCTACTTAGTTGAATCAAGTTGCAAGAAAAAAGGAAGAAACTTTGTGGGATAAAAGGATGCAACTAGTGCTGACAAAACCACTTATGTCTTTGAGACATAAAACCAAGTACTCAATTCCGTAAGGATTCTTCTATACAAAATTGTTTATCTCTCTTTTAAAGAATGTTACAGCTGGTTTGTGTCATGTCATGCATGACCAGCAAACACAAGATAATTTATGGCCAAATTTGCCAATTGCTATGGCAACCAAAACAGTTCTAAATTAAAGCCCTGCTTAGTCAACATCACAAATGATTCCTGTGGGGTAATGTTCCTTCAGGTAAATTTGAATCATCATCATATGGATTTTGCCCCTTAAAGTGATATGTAATAAATAAGTTTGCTGATCATGTTGTAACAGAAGTGTCTAAAGTGATACAAAATTTCCCTGGAACAGATGTAAAAGCAATCTGGTTGACAAATAACAGTAAATCCACAGATTTCCAACAAATGAAAAGTAACACTGTTCCTTCACTCTAAGAGTAAGTCACCTTTTCGTAACTTTCCAAATATTTGAGAAGAACCTGCATTTGATGCAAACTGGTCTGGATTTTAAGCAAGGTCTCTCAGAAAATGGAAATACCCTTATTAGGGTATTCAAATTGAAAATATCATAACTATGACATTATATTTTCCAGGAATTGTGTTCCTGAATATTCAAAAAAGTCAAAAAAAACATTTGTATTTTGATTAAATTGAAATTTTTTGTACCTGCTCTTTATAAAAAGGATGCAGTTTGTTGATAACACTAGGGCATGTTTAAAAAATAGACAAGTGAGTAATTACCAGCCACTCTCTTTCGAGCTGAAAACCTTTTGCCTCGGGACTCTTGTTGTATTTCCTCAGCATGTCCTGTCATGTCAATAAAGGAATAACAAATTATACAAAGACAACTATTTTCAAAGTATCAGTGTGACTGTCATTCATCTACTTGAAGTAATTCCCACATGAGTAAAACATGTTGATGCAGGTGTACTTCAACTCATATCATTACAAGGGAACAAAGGAGGTAAAACCTGTAATAGTATTAAGCCTTGTAAGTAACTGTGATTAATTTAATATTTGATGGATATTTTTTGTGGTGAGCTTGTTATCTGGTGTAATTTCTATGTCCATTTTTAAGGGTTGGTGCCTTTGAGCACGCAAAAATCAAACATCTTTGCACTTAAACATACACATTGTACTGAAATCAGCAATGATCTAAATTTCACAGATACAAAACAGCCCCAAATTTCTCTGTACTTTTTCATGTTACTCTTATATTAATTCAAGTCAGATGCCTATTTCAAAATGATAGCAGATTTGTGCTTATAAGCTACTAGATACTCCAACTGAATTATTTCAAATCAGGTGTAGGCATATAAAATTAATATTTCAACCTGAATGCAAGGCCCTAAGCTTCTTCACAAAAGCAGCACATTGGTCCCGCCAACAGTATTTCTCTTTATATCTGTTGCGTAGCATGCTTGCCTCGTCTAATTCAGTTTTCAGATTTCTTCGTGCTCGCCTGATTTGCTCAGCCCAATTATCTGCGTGATGAACTATGCCTTTGTTCCCACCAGGTACTTTCTCTAGAGCCTCTGCCAAGCCAGAATTATGGGTAATAAGGATTGGTACACCTGCTGACAATGCCTCTAAAGCTGTGAGACCAAATGCCTCTGTACCCGAAGGCATCAAAACAAGATCCACTTCAAAAAATAGCTCAGCCAGTTTTCTTCTTTCTTTGTAAATACTTCTCACAATCAGTTGACCACGAGAGATCCCAAGACCTTCCAATCTATCAGCAAGTTTCTCTTGTTCTTCCTCGGGGGTACCAACAACTTTGAGAATGTATGATGGGTCATACTTATTAAGATGTGCCACAGCTTTGGCAGCAACATGAAAACCTTTAAGTTCAAAGTCTTCAGTGTTCCCTCTGCCAAACACTAGGACTTCAAAGGTCCTTGACTCTCGGTATTGCTTTTTCTCTCCAAAAAACTTATCAAAAATGCCAGGTATAAGATTGAATATATGATCTTTCTTACACTGATACAGAGCAGCATTAAAGGCCTTATTGAGCTTAGAGCCAACTGTTAAAACTACATCAGCGATTTTACACAATTTGATCTCAGTTTCATGCTGTTTCCGCCCTTCGGAAATGGCACCTGGGGTTTTCTTGAACATTGCCGTTTCTTCTGCATTTTTCAGGACCACATGCACCCATTTACAGCTAAGTTTATTCTTAAGGACCTGTCCATAACATCCATGCTTAATGCCCTGACCAATGACAAAGTCAGTACTAAATCCTTTTGGAGGAAACTGCAGACAATCACCTGGTTCAAAGCTTGCATATCTTTCAGGTTCAAAAACCTTGGTGTTGTATTTTCGGGCATCTTCTTTATCCTCTGGACTGGCACTTGGAATTAAAATACCAATTTCTACATATTCTAGTCTAGAGAGTTCTATGGCCATCTGTCTCATGAAGGTGGAACAACTGCCTTTGGTCGATTGAGTCCATTCCTCAGTCAAAAAGGTTATCTTCATGACGGCAGCTTGCTTTATTAAGATAATGTTCTGTAAAAAGTTTACAAATGATTTCAGAATTGTATGATTGCCCTTGATCCATATGTATTAGTTCCCACAGAAAAAAGTTCATTACATCAAAATGCGACAAAAGTATTTTTATAATGACTGTAAATATATGAAAATAATATATGAGCACTGCCGTTGAAGAAACGAATATAGAAGTGATCCTCGCAGTTATGAACACTACTGAACGAGTAGTAGAAATAAAGCCTGAAAAAAATTCAGGCCCGTATGAGATACCGTACGGGCCTGTTTCTGATTATCTGTCAGTTAAACCCGGTTTAATTAAATGTTATCTGGTGTGTCAATAGGCTGAGGTATAGGATGCAAGAGTGTGCTGTTTCCAGCTATAAGTAGCTTCCTTGTCAATGTTAAGCCTGCTACTTGAAAAGAAAATTGTAATTATTACAATTTGTTCCCAGCAGAAATTTCACTCACTTTGAAGAATAAAAAATCGATCCTAAAATCAGAAAAGTATGCCAAACCACAAAATAACACTCCTACCGATTTTCAACTCATATTGACAAGATGATATTCACCTATTTTCACAAAGCAGTATACAATACATATTACTGATCGGCAATTTTGTATACGAGCACCATTCCAATCCATCACAAAACTTATTTGTTATTGATATATCACCTTGGGATTTTCCATTTCAGAACAAGAGCAGTGCCAAGTAAAATATCAGCTTTCCAAATGTGGCGCAAGATTAGTTAGGCTAGCCTATGTACATACAAAAGCATGCCTTAATGCATTGCTTCATTTGCAACATAAAAAATGTTCGGATCCAACTAATTTCGTCCGACATTTTGTAAAGCGCTCGTTCAAGCCTCCTCGCTTATCTCATAACCCTTGTTATAGGGTCTGTGATGGAAGTTTCCAACCAAGGCCATCAAAGTACATGCTGTTGAAATTTTAATATCACTCTTTATGATGCTGGATGGATTTATCCTCAAGTACTTTCTTTTATCTTAACCTCTTGTACACTGAATACTCCTACGCTTATTTGCCTAGCTGATACCTCGTAGAAAAACGAGCGAGCCGAATAGGCAGCCATATAAAGTATGTCAACTTATAGAGATTTTTCAACGATCCCTCTCACCTTATCTGGAGGTGTAAAGCAATTCACTTGATCGCGTGTTCCTCATGAAAATTCGATAACATCGCCATAATGTAGTCTTGAGATCACGAATGGCAACAGTTGACTTAACCCGGAAGCACGCTATCCCATGAGACATGGGAAGCGCGGGAAAAACTTGCATAAATTATGCAGGTTTTCTGTTGTGAAATGCTAATTTAACTCAAAAACTTGGGCCAGCTCGCATAAACCCCACGGCAGGGCCTCGGTCAAACGAAAGAAATTCCTAAATCCAGTACAGCAACATAAAGCAGGATTTGACAGAGGTAAAAGAACTTCTCTCGTCTGCGCGTGACAAGGAAAAATCTGATGAGTTCCCGCTGAGAGGACTCGAGCTGCCACTAGTCACACTGTAATATCTCGCGCTCTAAAGCTCTACCTAGTTAGCTCATTTACAAGTCTAAGGGGAGGTCGTCGGGCACCCCGCTTTCCTTTCCCCCCGCCCCACCCCTTTTGAGATGATTTCCTTCTGGTAAACAACAAATAAATATCATAATTCAGGCGGTGAAAACGTGCATATTCTGAAGAGTATACATGTCACCGCATTTCAAATATTTACTAGTGGTAGATATTCATCCGTGCAGCTTGTAAGCCTGTCCCTTCCCCCCCCGCACACACACACCCATACTCCCACGCACACACATACACGATACTTCCTCCCAAGGGATCGATATTTATTTATTCGCTTGGGGGAGGGGTCGGAGGATTTTGGTTGTGTGACGATAAAATTTGCCTGATCTCCCATAAGGCTCTACAATATTATTTTAATTTTCCCCCATTAGCAGTTAATTGAAAGTCAATTTTTATAGTTCTCCTTTGTACTCTGTTGGCGAAGGCTGATCCTCACTCTGTTCCCCCTGAAAATCATGTGTTCCCTCTAATATCTTTCACCCACTCCACCCAGGAGATAAGAAAAAAATGACTGGTCTCCTAATACGACTGTACTGTTCTGTTGCAAAGCACGTAAGGAGCGGCTAGAGCACGAAAAAATTGTAGGGAGATACACAAGACTTACGGAGCTCCGTAGGGAGACACACAAGACGAAGTCGAGTGTTTCTCCCCACTTCTCAAGTACGTTCGTAATCTTGCAATCTAACTGAGCGTGAAAACTGTCAAAACTCGGATAGAGTAATTTGTTATCTCTGAAGATCTATGAGGATTTTCGTCTCTGTTCACGTTCTAATAAGGTAAATTACGGCACTTGGTATGTTGGATCATGTGAACTATAGGTGGACTCGGTCGACATATCGGGCGACAGTCGACCGATATATCGGTCGACTATCGACCCATAGTCGGTCGACAATCGGTCGACTATCGGTCGACTGTCGCCCGATATGTCGACCGAGTCCACCTATAGTACACATGATCCCAACCGGCTAACACATACTATGCACAACCAGCAAATGCAAGATAATCAATGGCCAAATTGGCTAGTTGCCATAGCAACCAGAACGGTTGCAGCCTTAAGCCCAGCTCAGTCAAAAGCAGAAATGATTGCTGTGAAGTAATGTCCCCACAGAAGAATTTAAATAATAATCATCATCAAGGATTTTGTCCCTTAAAATGGTAAGTAGTAATTGCTAATCACCTTATAGCAAAAGTGCCTAAAGTGATATAAACGTTTCCCTGGAACTGATGTGAAAGCAATCTACAGTTGACAAATAATAATAAATGAAATCCACAGATTTCCAATGAATGTAAAGTTACACAGTTCCTTCATTTTAAAAGTAAGTCACCTTTTCATCAGTTCCCTAATAAGTGAGAAGAATAACATTTGATGCAGACGGTTCTGGATCCTCAGCAGGGTCAGTCAGAAAATGGAATTACCCCTATTAGAGCATTCACTTGGAAAATTTCATAACGATGACATCGTATTGTCCAAGAATTGTTTTCTTCAATATTCAAAAAATGTCCCAAAAATATATTGGTATATTGATTTCGATAAAATGTTTTGTACCTGCTCATTATTGAAAAGATGCAGTTTGTTCATAACATTGCAGCATGTTTGAAAAATAGACAAGTGAGTAATTACCAGCCACTCGCTTTCGAGCTGAAGGCCTTTTGCCTTGGGACTCCTGTTGCATTTCCTCAGCACGTCCTATTAGATTTCAATAAACAAATAGCACAAATTACACAAAGACAACTGTAATCAAAGTATCACTGTAACTGTCATTCATCTCAGCCCCAAATGAGTAAAACATGTTGGTGCAGCTGTACTTCAACTCATATCATTACAATGGAACCAAGGAGGTGAAACCTGTATAGTGTTAAGCCCTGTAAGTAACTGTGATTAATATCTGTTGCATATTTTTGTGGCAAGCCTGTTATCTGGTGTAATTTCTATGTACATATTTAAGGCTTGGTGCCTTTTAGCACGTAAAAATCAACACATCTGTGCACTAAAACATACATATTGTACTGAAATCAGCATTGATCTAACTTCACAGATACAAAACAGCCCCTGATTTCTGTCTTCTTTTTGGATTTCACTCTTACATTAATTTAAGTCGTGGTGCCTTTTTCATTTCTTCAGTTCTCTGTTTCTGATTTTCATTTAGTGAAATCCGGTTTAACTAAACATGTTTTCTCATGTGTATATGCTGGGGAATAAGATGCAGAGTGTGCTGTTTCCAGTTATAAGTAGCTTCCTTGTCAATGTTCTGCTACTTGAAAAGAAAATAATATTGTAATTATTATTATTTGTTCCCAGCAGAAATTTCACTCACTTTGAAGCACAAACATTTATCCTAAAAATCAGAAAAGTATGCCAAACCACAAAATTAAACTCCTACCGATTTTTCAACCCTTTTGACACGATGATATTCACCTATTTTCACAAAGCAGTTTACAATACATATTACTGATCTACAATTTCGTATACCGGCACCATTCCAACCATTATAAAACTGATTACTTATCGATATATCACCTAGGGGTTTTCCCTTTCAGAACAAGAGCAGTGGTCATTAGAAGTAGGGTGCCTCTTATCAGCTTTCCAAATGTGGTGCAAGATTGGCTAGCCTATATACATACAAAGGCATGTCTTGAAGCATTGCTTCATTGGCAACACAGAAAATGTTTGGATCCATCTAATTTCGTTCTACATTTTGTAAAGCGCTTGTTCAAGCCTCCTTGTTTATCTAATAACTCTTATATTAGAATCGAGGGTCTGTGATTGAAGATACCAAATATGATATCTCATCTCTTCAAGTTTCCAACCAAGGTCATCAAAGTACATACTGTTGAAATTTTACTGTCAGTCTTTACGATGCAGGATGATTTATCCTCAAGTACTTCCTTCTATTTTAACCTCTCGTTCACTGAATGCTCCTTCGCTTGTTTCCCTAGCCGATACTTCGTTCAAAAAGGAGCTGAAACGAATCTCACTGCGGGCGATCGATGTTTCGTATTCAATAAGAAGTACTTAGCGACAGCGAGCCGAATAGGAGGCCACATAAAGTATGTCATAACTTATAGAGATTGTTCAGCGATCCCTCTCACCTTATCTGGAGGTGTAAATCAACTCACTTGATCGCGTGGTCCTCGTGAAAATTGTATGACATCGCCAGGATGTGTGCGGCAACTGTTAATATAACCCGGAAGCACGCCATCCCATGAGACATGGGAGGCGCGGAAAAACTTGCATAAATTATGTAGGTATTCTGTTAAGAAATGATAATTACAACTCGTAAACTTGGGACAGCTTGCATAAATCCCACGTCAGGGCCTCGGTCAAATGAAAGAAATCTGTAAATCCAGTACAGCAACATAAAGCAGGATGTGACAGAGGTAAAAGAACTTCTTTCAATTGCGCGTG